ATGCTTTTCTTTCTGATGAAAATCTTTTGGAAACCATCAACTTTTATTTCTTTTCATATTCAACCAAACCAGCCCACTGAATCCCGTCAGTGGTCAATTCAGTTCTAGATCTGCATCTACTACATACAGTACTGTTCCTGAACTGCTCCCCTCCTCCCATTTTGCTTTTCTTTTACGTATCAACAATTATTTTAGCAACTTTTATACTCACATAGTCACATGTAATAAAAAAGAGAGAAAAGTATCATCAATAATCCATACACACATTTTTAGTTATAAAATTGCGGTTTCTCAAATATTCTAATGTCCTTGAAAGTCATATATAGTTATATACATACTAATTAAGAACAACATGACCATGCAAACACTAATATAGTTAAATGTTGGTAGCTTAGCGGTGGTGGTTGAGTAAGACGGTTGAGTTGAAGTATCAGACACAATTTCCGGTAGCGGCGGTGCAAAAGATTAATCTAGTATGATCATTTCTTGTGCGCACCAGGACCTCAATCATCTTAACACTAATATAGTTAAATGTTGGGAAGCTAAGCGGCGGCTGAGTAAGGCAGTTGGGTTGAAGCATCAAACTCAATTTCAAGCAGCAACAATGCAAAAGATTGATCTAGTATGATGGTTTATTGTGCCCACCAAGACCTGAATCACTCACAAATCATTTGAGACTATGGGTTGGTTTGCAACTCCTTTTAAAAAAGCACTTCTCAACTTTTGGCTTTAAAAAAACACTTATTTTCCCAAACACTACTACTTTTATTTTTCTCGGCTTCCGCGTTAAAAGTATTTTTACTTTTTCTATTACACAAAAAGCACTTATTTTACCAAACACTACCCACTTTTACTTTTCAAAATGATTGTTTTCACAAACACTATCAACTTTTATTTAATCACTTCTCCCCATTTCATTAAAAAAAATAATTTTATAAAAGCAGAAGTTGTTGCAAACAGACCCTATATCGCACTTATATCCTGTTTGAGATTAGGGTAGGCGATTTCACCTTTTCGGTTGACTTAACGGATAATTTCACACACATATATATATGAATATTAAACTCTAGGAGTACATTATATTACTGGCAAAGAGTTAGCCGGTAAACGAAATCACTAATTTTTTTTTGAATGAAAATGTGAATATTATATTCTTAGAGTACATTATTGTCATGATAGAATTATATACTCTATTTTGACGTTAACCGATAAAAAATGCAATGACAATACTAACGTATATACGATAGTATAATTGATACTCCCTCCGGTTTTTAATAAATTTCACACTTTTCTTTTTGGGACGATCTAAAATAAATTTCACACTTTCTTATTTCCTTTTATGTCAAAGAAATCTACATCAAAACAGTGCCAAACAGTGTCTCAACAGTGCAAAACAGTGTCTCTACAGTGCCAAACAGTGTCAAACAGTGCCTCAACAGTGTACTCTATAGTAAAGTCAAATTTCTTTCCTTATTTTGTGTGAAGTCAAATTGTGAAGATTAAAAAAAACCGGAGGTAGTAGTATTTTGTCAACCATAATAATAGGGAGTGCTCCCTCCGTCCCAAAAACAACTTCACAGTTTGACATTCACACAGATTAAGAAAATAAATTTGACTTTACTGTGGAATGCACTGTTTTGCACTGTTTAAACACTGTTTGACACTGTTTGGACACTATTTAACACTGTTTGGCACTGTTTGACACTGTTTTGATGTAGATAATTTACTAAATAAGGAAAGTATAGAAGTGTGAAATTAATTTTGGAACATCCATTTAAGGAAAGTGGAAAGTCGTTTTTGGGACGGAAGGAGTATTATTTACAGAAAAACATAGAGAGTACTATGGAATGCTCTTAAATAATTAGCAAAAATTTTAAAGAGCCATATATGACTTCTTCTATGGAGCCATACATGACTTCTTCTACGTGACATCATCATCATGACACAATTTTTTTAGTGGAGAACCCACATATAATAAATGGTGAAATGATAAGCAGAGCACCAGTGGACGTAGCTCAACTGTTAGCGAGGGAGTGTCAAATATTACGAAGTATAATTTCTTGACTTTGATGAAAGATGTTTTCTTTTGGACTATACTAGTATATTTTTGGTCCCAAATAAGACCAGACCAAATTTAAAATGACCAGACCAGACTTAAACAAAACAAACCTGATCAGATCAGACTTGGTCAATTATAAAATACACCGAGACCAAACAATTACGAGACCAAACCAGTTCTGACAAGACCAGATTAGACCGGACTTAAACAGACCAGATCAGACCAGACTAGTAAATTTTAGTCCAAAAGAAAACATCCTAATAAATAATATCACAACTCATTAGTGTAAAACTTAGGATACTTATTCGACAAAATGGCTAATTTTTACGTAGTAAAATTTAATTTATCTTTAATAGATAAGAAGTACTCAATTGTAAAAATCATGCCATACTAAAATATGACACACACTAGTTAAATCGTTTTCAAATATTGTAAGTGAATTCAGAATGAATGTTTGTGTATATTAAAATTTCATAATTCATTGAGTTGTGACTCTTTTAGAAAGAATGTATTATATAAATAATAATCTTTAAACTATTCTAAAATTAATAGAAATATAATTATATGCACCAACTATACCGTAAACGAAATAACATTACCCTAAAAATCAATAATCTCACACATATTATTGTAATATTAAAAAGACTCGTGGTTACACTCATGGTAAACAGTAAAGTATAATTTAAGAACTAATTTTAATTATTATTTTGATAAGATTCATGCAGTTAAAAAAAAGTCATTTAAAGGTGGATGTGTACCTGTAATTCTCTTTATCGTCAATAAAAATTGATTTTTTTTACCATTTTTTATAATCAACTAATTTTCTTTTGTTTTGAATGACTTAGACTTTAATTAATCAATGCCGTTTTCTAGAGCACATCAATTACAAAAATTTTAGTTATTTTATCATTGTACTTCTTTTGAGCGTGGTACACTTAAATACTCCGTATAATGTATGCTAGCGAAAATATTTCTTTTGAAAAAATTAGGAGCCCGTTTGGTAGCACCAAAATCGGCTGTTTTGGCTGATTCTGCTGAAATTTATGATATTCTGGCTGGAGTGGCTGTTTTGGCTGATTCTGCTGATTTAAGAAAAAAATATTTTAAAAATATATTTTATTAATAAATTAAAGAAAAAATTATATGTAAAAATAGCTAAAATGGTCCTCTACAGTAACTTCAGCCAATACAGCCAGAAAAGTAACTCCAACCTTACTTTTTCGGCTTATTACACAATTCAGCGCGCGAAAGTAAAAGTTACGTGTTTGGTGAAAAAGCTGGCTGATAAGCCTGATAAGCCGAAAACAGAGTTCTCCAAACGGGCTCTAAGTAGAATATCCCACGAGAGTTCTAAAAAATCACTCCTTAACCCCAAATAAGATTTTAACTCAAGTAAATAGTGATTAAGAGCATCAAGAAGATTGCTGTAGATGACCGTGATGAAGAGGCAGGCTATTCGCTTTGGGACTGGTTGTATTTTTGCACTAACTAATTAGCTCTACTTCACAATAATCTTGAAATAATCTGGATTCATATTTTCGATCTTACATTATTTTGTTAAATAATCTCACTCAATCATGATCACCAAAATTATCTATCACATCATTTAACTTAATCCACTAATAATCTAATGGAAAGAAATGCCCTAAAATATGATTACATATGCATCAGAACACGTACGTAGTTATTGTGTTATTAATTGTAGTAAATACATTGTATAAATAAATATAATCAATTCCTATTTAATTCTATAATGCAGTGGTCGACATATACACATCATAATTATAGTCATGTTTTTATTTATAAATTCGAATGCAGTATTGTTTTAACAAATTCAAAATCAAGACAGTTTTATGAAATCCAAAATTGGGGTATACGAAGTAGCATACGGAGTACGTAATACATAATACCAAAAAAACATCACTAATTTGCTTTAGAGACAACTTTTAACTAAATCAGTCCTTCAAAATAAGTAAATCTTAATTTATTTTTTGAGTAATTTGACTGAATTCACCGAAGAGTAATATTTTAACTATTCCTTTATACGAAGTATATTTTTTCTTAAATGCACTTATAAACTATATATTCAATATAATTTATGTACTAATATAATCCAACATATACCGTCAATTATATTCAAATATATAAATACTCTTTATTTTACGGAGTACTAATTTTTGCAAATTCAACCGTTTAAACCAATTTGAATGTTACTGCTTTACAATGTTTATTTATCCTTTGACTTCAAAGATATTAAGGAAATGGATTTTGTCTCTACACTGTTACGACACTGTTTGAAAGTGTAGCAACACTGTTTGACACTGTAGCAACACTGTTTGACACTGTAGCGACACTGTTTGACACTGTTTGATAAAGATTTATTTGTCAAATAAGGAAAGAAAAAAGTAGGACAAACATGTTGGGACTTCCATTTCGGGAAAGTAGGACAAACATTGAGGGACGGAGGGAGTATATGAGAAAAATTGCTAGGAAATTGACTATATTACAAAATAGTAAGTTTGGTCGTCATTAAAGTTTGACAACTCTAACTTTTTCGTCAAATATGTTAAATTTTGATTAATAGTTGCTGTATAATACGAGTATAATATTTGCTCCCAAATCGAATTTCCCAATTGTCATTATGTGATCATTATATATAATCTCTTTAATTATAAGGTAAATTCTATGGTACCCATAAGGTACCATACTTTTGTCCACATGGACCAATGAGAATGTAGCAGTTGAATTATTTAAATCTAAATTAAAAATGATAAAGTGATGTGGTCCAATCAAATGTACAGTAGGTACGGTACCCCGTTTTTAAAAAGGTACCGGAGTTGTCACCTAATTATAATCTCAATTTCCCATCAGTTTTGTATTTTTAAAATTTGAACGTGTAACTCTCAATGATACCATCAAATCACTAAATATGGTACGATACATAAAGCTATGTTAAAGTAATTTTAAATAATGTTCTTGTAGCTAGGAATGAAAATTATAATTTTCCTAAGAATAAATTCATTGAATTTATTAGTCAAAACATAAAAATATTGACTAATTAAAAACATCGTAGTTGTCAACTTAAAAAGATCTACATGCACTGAAAGATCAGAGATCTAGACCAAAGAAGCTAATAAGAGCCATTGTGATTAGTACATTGCATGATAAACCCGCAAGAAAATTTCTGACCTTTATGAACCATGATCAAGAATTGAAGCTCCATCCAGAAAGATTTCTTCCCTACACATTTCCGATCAAAAGATTTTAGATTCCAAAAGGTGTCATATTGAGCGGGACATTAAAGAATGGAAGCCCGGAAGATAATGGGTCTGCCGGAAAATGGTTACTCCGGGCGCCGATGCCGCTGCTTCCGTCTCCGGCGCTTACACCGCCGGAGTTTTGAGACGATACTGGCGGCAGTTGCACCGATCCCGACGGGTCCTCCGCCTCGTCCTCCAAGGGCAGCCTCTCATAAGCGACGTTCGTGAAAGAAGCAGCTATGACGATGACCGGCCCCGCCGCCGTCAGCTCACCCACCACGCTTCCGCCGACCACCTGCCCCTGTCCTCCGGCCAAGTATATCGTCAGGCTCGTCGCGCCCGGCGGAGCCGGCGGGGGGAGAAAGGACCCAGAGAGTGAAAGAATCTCAAACCTCCCATGCAAGTTCATCACGGCGGACCCTCCGCCGCCGGAGCCCGCAGCCGGCTGCCTGAGGCTGATGTTCGTCACCGTCCCGCTGCCGCTGAGCACGCAGATCCCGCGCTGCCGGCGGCGGGCGTACGTGGCGATGCTGTCGAACACGTCGGAGCCGTTTCCGATCTCCAAGATGTGGGCCCGGAGAGTGTTGGCACTCTCCCGGGTTATGATAACCGGCGGCTTGGGCTTGTTCTTGGAACCGGGCGGTCTGCCCCTCGGCCTACGAGCTGATAAGTCCCCAGACCCGGTCCGGTTCGAGTGGTTGTCTTCTTCCTCTTCTTCGTTTTCCTGGAGGTTGAAGTCTGGGTGAAGATGAACATAAGAAGCATTGGTTAAATCTAAGCCTGCCATTTGTACCCCCAACATGAACAGCGGAAAAAAAGCGACAGAAAATCTATATTAAATCATTTGTACTAAAAATAAAATACTCATCAGTACAGTTTTTTCCCATGGTTGTGTTTATTTATTTATGGACGTGTGGGAAAAAGATAAATACGACAAAATGTTGATAGAGAAGGTTTTGTATCAGTTGGGTGGTTTTAGGAGGGGAGGAAAGGGAAAGAAGAAGAAGAAGAAAGGAAGGTACTGGGACACTGAGCGGGAGTCAGTATGAAATGGCCGGAGCAGTTGCTTCTTTGACCCTAAATATGATGTTCTTAAAGACTAATGATAGTTATTTTCAAAAATTCATTTGAATTCCTTCTCGATTGAAGTTTTAGCTGAAATTTGGTATGAGTAAACTAAACTTAAGGAATAAGATGCTCAAAAAATTTCATCAAAAAAATCCACCGGGAACCAACCCAAATGGCGACGGCCGGACAGAGCCTCCTAAATAAAGACTTATTTGACCTTTTTTTTGTTAGTACATGAGCCTATTTGCACCTTTTCCCTAATACTTTTGTTATAGTTTTACACGCGTTTGTGAAAGGTGTTTTCCTCTGTGACATACAAATTGTATTTTATCTATGATACACAAAACAACTTTTGCCAAATAATTTGAGACATAGTCACCAATAACTTACTCAGTACATAGTACCTGTTATAAACTGACAAATTCTATACTCCCTCCGGTTTTATTTAATCTTCACACTTTGACTTCACACAAAATAAGGAAAGAAATTTGACTTTACTGTAGAATACACTATTGAGACACTGTTTGACACTGTTTGGCACTGTTAAGACACTGTTTGGCACTGTTTGGCACTGTTTTGATGTAGATTTCTTTGCCAAAAAAGGAAATAAGGAAGTGTGAAGTTTATTTTAGACCGTCTCAACAGTGCCAAACAGTGTCTCTACAGTGCCAAACAGTGTTAAATAGTGCCTCAACAGTGTACTCTACAGTCAAGTAAGATTTCTTTCCTTATTTTGTGTGAAGTCAAACTGTGAAGATTAAAAAAAATCGGAGGTAGTACTCACAAATTAAAATACTAGACTTTGTCAACATGTGAAGTTTGGATAATGATTCCAAATGTTATATTTGTAGATTATTTGTACATTTTATACTTTTATGGAAAAAAAAATTGAATAAGAAACATTTTGATATAATTTTTATATTCAAATTAATTTTGTATTAAAAAATATCATTAGTCCAAGTTGATTACCATTAACTAAGAAAAGTCAATTTGACAAACCTTTCCGGAACGGAGGAAGTAGTTTATATATAAATAAATGATAAAATAATACGTAGTAATTAACTTGGCCGATCAAATGTATTCCAGATACTTTTTTTTTACTCCAGGGGGTTCTGGGGGAGGGGGCTTAAGGGAGCCTGAAGTAATCAGGGCTGAAACTCACTCCATTGAGTTTCCAACCCTTGTGTGCCTAGCGGGATTCAAACACGAGACCTCCCACTAGGCACGATAACCTCACAACCAGCTGGGCTGGAATGCTTGGTTATGTATCCTAGATACTTATTCTATCTTAATTGTGAAATATTGTAGCACTCATGCACTTAGTAGAATATATTTAAATGTTCACATCTCATACCAAGTTGGTATGTACTATGTGTTGCGGAAACATGACCCCTCGACCTTTATTAGGATCACAAGTTGAAATGATTCTTGTACACTCATTCACTCTTAATACAAAGACTCTCTTTGACAATATCACTTTGTATTATACAATTAAAATGTAGAAGAGATAATTACAAGTAAACGGGTAGTTCACTTCAATCTTTGTAAATAAGACTACTTCACTCTAACTTTCCTCTTTCAAGGAGACCTCACTCACTCAAGTGCTCTCCTTAAAACTCTTCTCTCTCATCACTCAAGGAGGCTCTCACAAGGCTCTTCCACAAGGCTCTCTCAACACTCAAGGAGGCTCACACAAAGCTCTCACTAATATGAATGAGGAGTGTCACCCATATTTATACTAATCTCCTCAAAGTTCTTTAGAACTCTCTATACACTAGTATACTTCTAGAGTCTTTCAAAAAATATCCACAAGCTTCTCCAATCTTATGGAAAGATCTAGATAACCCCGCATTTCTTCTCAGTTTTCTAGAGATTTCCACATGGTTCTAGAGGATTTCACACTTCTCTAGAAAACTCTACAATGTTTTAGAATATTCTACACTCTTCCACACGCTTCTAGATAATTCTATGTCTCTCTGGAAAACTGCACTCTAAAATATTCTAGAACATTCAATATGTCTCTACACATATCTAGAGAATTCTAAACATCTTCGCGGTATTCTAGAAAAGCTAAAAGACTTTTACATTGTGCTTGAAAAACTTGCAACATATGAAAAAACCCAACACTTCCGGGGTGAAGTCGTTCCTCCATAATTTTTAAAAACGCGTATATATGTAACTCGAGTTTTGGATAAACAAACAATATAATGAAGTACTCGTATATTACATTTGAACTTCTTTCAGATCACACCACATTAGATAGAAAAATTCAAAGTCAAAATATATTATATTGATGATGGTACAATGACATGTGATGCTAACATATCATCCTTCGCTTTCAAGATAACGTTTCTGGATTTGGGAGAGTGCCTTTCCGTCATTGATTACTTTGTGTATGAAATGGGAAAAGGCTCGAGGTCATGAAATCTTAGCTTCTTCATCACAAGACACAGACAATTGAGAGATGAAAAAACGGTAGACACAAATTATATATAACAACTCTGCAATCATGTCTCCCGCTGGACCACAAAGTTCCAACAACTGATCACATCCAATAACCATGACAGCAGGTCACCTTCTCCTAAGTAATCTTGCCAATCTATGCCCCCGTCCGGTCTCCTCTTACTATGGGCATACCTCATGAGTTAAGCACATGTGCCTCTAATCATTTTGTGAAGTGAAGGTTGTTACTAGGGTGCAAACGAGCCGAGCCGAGTCGAGTCCGGATATTGGTATGCTTAAGCTTGAGCTTGATAATAATTCACGAGCCCGAGCTCGATCTTGAACTTGGACGAGTTAAATAATTCGAGCTCGAGCTCGAGTCGAGCTCGGCTCGATCTCAATTCGAGTTCGGTTCGAGCTCGCGTCAAGTTTTTTTAATTAATTTTTATAGGTTTGAATCAGGGGCGGAGCCAGGATTTCACTAGAGGGGGGCGGAACAGAACGAAAACGTGTAAATACATAAACATATTTTATTAAAATTGATGATTAATTTGAAATATTTGAGATCTTGTAGGACAACTAAAACAAACAAAAAAAATGTATCAATATCTTAAGATATATTATAGTAGATGTTTAATTTCTGAAAATCAATCTCTTACTACATGTGTGGATAATGTTTAGGGAAAGAAAATTAATTTCTAGGATATGATTTTCTGTTTGATTTTGCAACACAAATTTCAAACGGAATTAAATATAATTGATACTATTAAATTTGTTTTCATACTTAATTATTGTTGGGTTAAGGGCCCAAGCCGAGGTCCGGCCCACTAACCCCTTCTTTACCAGACGTACGTCCAGTCAGACCACAAGGCCAGCCGCAGGCCCATGTTCCTTGGGGAGGGACGAACGTCTGGGGTTGGGAGTTCAGGCCCAACGGTTCATCCCGACGAACGTCTATGCAGGGACAAGGAGCAGGACCACGGGCCACCAGGGATGACGACGAACGTCCCCATGGCAAGCCTATACTCATCCGGGGAAACCCAGTGCACAAGGCCAGGAGACGAACAGCCGGTATCTCTTGAGGGTCACTTGGAGCGATCCAACTCACTTTCCGGGCGGACGAACGTCCCCACTGATTAGGCGGGAAGCCTAGATTCTGGCGGGAAGTGCATTTAATGCTGAAGATTTGATAGTTGGGGCACCAGCGGTCCACAGGCTGCCACGTCAGTATAGCCACCTGCCCATTGGTGGGTATAAATAGAAGCATTTATTTCATTGTAAAGGGTTGGCAACTTTCTATTCTTAGCATTCTAGCTTATTCCTCTTGCTCGCAGCTGAGACTACCGCCTAGCGAGACGAACGGCCGACGTGCCTTTTTTAGTAAGTAGATTGTACTTAGGGGAGTTATTACAGAGTTAATAATACCTATTTACATTGCTTATTATATCTTCTGCTTCCTGGTCCATCTGATAGTTGTTGGGCTAGATATTCACATACTCATACACCCACTCCACTCGAAATCTTTGGGCTTACGTGTTGGGCCTGAGGGTTGAAGGAATAAACCTCAACACTGGCGCCGTCTGTGGGAAGCTGAACAAAAAGTTTCCAGAAACTCTCCCAAACAGCTACTAAATCTAACCACTGCAAAACACGATGTCAGGAAGCAACAACCAGCGCGACCTCTCCGAACGTCTGGAGTCAAGCCGCCGGAATCGCGGCCAGAACTCGGAACTGTCCGCAACAATCTGGACCTCCGGGGGAAACGGGGGTATCACTGACCTCATTCCCCTTGAGGCCAGGCAGGATCCCCGCCTCATGCGGGAACTTGCCGACACCATGCGCCGTTTGGCAGACGAACGGGAGGCTCAAGAGCAGGTGTACTCTGCAAGCACCCAGCGAACACCCCTCTCTCCCATCCGCCGTATGCAGTCGTACGATGATACGACAGGGTCCAGCGACCACCGGCCCTCAGTCCATGAGCGGCTAGGTGGAGGTTCAGGCTCCCGTGGAACGGGAGGGCGAACCAAGGTCAGCATCGCTGCTTTCAGGGCGCACACGCCATCAGTTCCCCGCCAAGTCTCGCGGGGAGACGAAACCCCAAGGATCAACACCGCTGGACGACGATTCCAGCGGCAAGGGGCACAGATCATCAGGCGGCCGCACGGTGCTGTGGCCGCTCAGCAAAACGCTGTCCTCGAAGCCGTGCCCCCTGTGTCCCCCGGAAGGGCCGCACAAGATGCAAGGCTGGAAGCAATGGAGCGGCAGATAGCCGAGATGAACAGGCGGACGGACGCCGGCTCGGCCACGCCCTCTTTCTCTCTCACGTCACCCTTCACCCCCCGGGTGATGAGCGTCGAGATTCCCCGGGACTGCAGGCCGCCGGGCAACTTGGTGTACAATGGGGCCGGTGATCCCAAGGCCCATCTGATTAGCTACCAAGGGAATCTGTCCATGCTGGGAGCATCGGACGAGGCCATATGCAGATTGTTCTTCAGCACCCTCAGGGGGCCGACACAGGAATGGTTCGGCCAGCTGAGGCCGGGCACC